GGGGGGGGGGGGGCGGCAGAGCAGCCAAGCCCAGAAGCCCCAGGTGGCACTGGACTCGCAGAGATTAGACTTCCCTGGGTACCCAGCCCTGTGGCCTAGGACCAGTTTGCCCCAGGAGAGACAGGAGGTGGGGCCTGAGCACACTGGTCCTGGCAGCCCCAGGCCCAGCTTGGAGTTTTGAGCAAATGAGCAAGGAGCCCCTTCGGCACAGCCAATCAAAGCCTGGCCCCGTTACACTGTGTTACCTTTGATAGGATGTAAAAGCAAGACGAAGTTAATCTCACACACACACCCCCTCCATGTCTCACCCCCTGCCCCACCCCCGTTCACTCACCAGGGCAAGCTCATTGCTCTGTTTCTGGGCTTCGCTCTTGGCTGAATCCAGCTGAGATTGAGATTCTAATAAAAGTTGCCTCAGCTTGAGGAGTACACAGACCCAGGTGATGGGGGCAAAGGATAGAGAAGAGAAAACCAGCTCCTGTTAGCACCTAAACACACAATCTAATCCATCCCATCACCCTAACCCTTAAGAACACTGCAGGGCAGAGGAGCCCAGTGGGCTCACAAGCCTCCGACGGCTCCATTCTTTTTTGAAGACTTAGGAAAGCTGGCATCCACTGTCCGCCTCATCTGGAGCCTTTGCAAATGTTTACGGATTGTCTTGCAAAATAAGGCCAAAAGTCTGAGATCAAACCAGAATCGGGGTGCCTGGTTTGTGCTTTCTGCTTCTGACATCAGAAAACATTATCAGATTTAAATCCACTTCCTCAGCAATGGTGTCACCAAGCGAGGTGGAGAATTCTCTTTCTGACAGCTGACCTGGCTCTACCCCGGCCCTGTCGGCTGGCCCATGGCCTACAGCAAAGCCTGAGAACTGGGGCTTCGAGCTCATCTGAATGAGAGCTGCTGAGGAGCAACTCCAGGCAGGCCGAGACCCCGGGGAAACTCACCCCCGCCACCTCCTTGGCGTAGCTCTGGCAATCGGCACTAGCGGCTGCCATGTGCTTCTCCAGCTCTGCCTCCAGAAGCGAGGTGTGCTCCCTCACCTGCACACGCACGCACACACACACGCACATGTCAGAGGCTCAAGTCAGCCAGCAAGGAAAAGGGTAGGGTGATGGGGTGACAGGTGTGGCTGGCCCTGGGATAAGGGCCTAGAGAGACCTACAAGGCCCGTCGGCTAAGCAGCCAACCAAAGCCAGGCAGAAACAAGTTCATGGCAACAGAACCCCTTCCTAAAAATGGTACCCGAATTCCAGCACTCCTGGGTCTGTGTCCTCAGACCTCAGAGTCGGGGAGGAGAGCGTTCGGACTGGCTTGCTGGGTGGATACCAGGGGCCCCTTCTTCAAGGCCAAGGCTGACTGTCTGCAGGGGCAGTGGGGCCACCTCACACACCTCCCACGACTCCGAAGGCACTGCAGAAGCCACTGCTTACCAGGGCCGGGCATTCTGCACACGGCCCACATTGTCTCAGGCTGCTCGGGCTGGAAATGGCCCCCACTAAGGAAAGCAGGGTTGACAAGCACCCCTAGCCATTAAGACACGTGGTCCTCAAGGGAAAGTAACTAACAGGCTCCGCGGTAACGCTTCTCTGTGGTAAGGAAAGCAGCTGTGAGCAGACCCTCGCACGTACCTGATCTGAACTTTCAAGTTCTCCTTTTAGCTTCTCTATAATCTCTTCGAGATGTCTCACTGTGACCCGTGACTACGAGGCAAGGGGAAAGCCCAGTGTCAGGCGCGAGCCCCATCTCAGGAATCCCAGTGCCCCCCCCCCAAGCATGACCCAACAGCCTCTTCCTGGAGGCGAGGACGCAGCTGTCATTCCACAGCCGCCGTACAAATATGGCATCACCGAAACCCAGCAAAGGGGACTCCTGCTTCCAAATGATACCACCGCCCCCCGGATGCTATGGAATTCCGGCCCAGCCACCCTCTTAGTACACTCTGCCTCAACTGCTAGGGAGGTGGAGCCCGGGCGGGGAGGGCGGCGCCTACCTTCTGGAGCTCGTCCTCTGCGGCGCCGACCTTGGCCTTCCACACCTGCTCCTCCTCCTCCACGCTCTTCTGCAGGTGCCTGAGCATGCCCTCCTGGGGGGCAGGCAGTGAGGCAGGGCCCCCGTGAGGCCCGCCCCGCCTCAACACTGTCCTCCTGCCCTCAGTCCCCCGGCGATGACCACCCGATGGCCAGCGTGGCCCTGCTCTGTCAGTCACATAGGGAGTGGGCCCTCTGGCCAGGGTGTGAACAAAGGCTTCGGCCACACATGGACTGAGGCCTGTGACCCACAGGAGGCCACAGGCACTCATCTCTGTTGAGTCCGCCACCAGTGCAACTCCGTGACCCAGGGTGAGGAACACAGGACAGACCTAGCACTGCTCCTGGAGGCCACAACTTCACACCAGCTGTCAGCCAAATGCTCACCTCTTCCTCTCCCTTCACAGACCGCTCCTTGTTTTTGCCAAGTCTTCCCACCCGAGGGCAGCCCCAAACCTCACCCCAGCCCTCGCCATAGCTTAGGAGCAATGAAGGCCCGAGCACCTTCCGCATCCCTCCCACCATTCAGCCAACAAAATGGGGCCCAGACTGGGGCAGTGACTAGCCCAAGGTCCCACAGAGCCTACATCTGAACCCAGGGCTCTTTCCAGAACGGCCATACCACCACCTGTCTCCTGCCCTAAAAACTCTTTCCTGGAAGCCCCCTGGAGGGTCGCCCAGCCAGAAGCCTAGCCAGAGGCCCAACCCTTGTGCCTTACTGTCTCTGCCAGAATGGTGCGATACTGGTCACACTCGGCCTGCAGGCTGCTCTGGGTCTCCTCGGCCTCCCTCAGCTTGGAGGCCAGGTCCTAAGGGGAGAGGGCAGAACAGGGCTCTGCTTAGCCAAGCACCAGGGTTTCTCGGGTGGCCTGCCGAAACCAAAACATCTCCCTTCCCAGGGACAGGAAAGCCATGCAGCCCTGTAAGGGCGTTTATGCCTCGCTTACCAAGGGTGTCTCTGTGTTCACTGGCAGCTGCTTCAGCAGTTCCGGGCCTTTCTCTTTGAGTTCTTGGAGCCACTCAGTGTAATTCTGCAACAAAAATGTGCAAAGAGGGCTCAGTGACATTCTTGATGGGCAGTGGGGTTCCAGGGAACAGTTCCCCCTTCTACCTGGTGGGCTGAATTGGGAAGTGCTGGGAACAGAGCCAGCAGAGCCTCCTTGGTCTGTGCCTCCATCAGGCTGAGCTGCTTCTCGGATTCCTCCTGCAGGGGGGAAGGTGGTGTTCAGACAGGGAGGTTTAGGGCAACCCCCGGGGTTGTTCCTGGAGATGCTGGGGTCTCCACCCCAGGAAGGGGAGGGACAAGGGTGAAAGAAGAAGGTGGGTGGCTTCGTGGCACTGACTGGGTGCGTGTGTTTAACCTCAGTGGCCAGTTCTGGCCACCCCAGCCTGTGCATGGTCTATATTAAACAGACTCAGCTCTAATAAAGGGAGATAGCAGGCTGGCCTATGTGGCAGATACAGGTTAATCCAACACCTCCCAGCAGACACTCAGGCTAAATCAGTTCTCAATTTCCAGGCTGCGTGTGTGTGTGTGCGCGCGCGCACACACACTATGGGGAGGGTGGGGTCCAAGCTGCTATGGGAGCCGACAAGGAGGCAAAGAGGTGTCTCTACCAGTAGCCACCAGAGTCAGGAGCTACCGCTGGCCAAGGGTGGCGGACACCTAGCAACCCTGGAGGGAGAATCACTACTCCCACTTTGCAGACGGAAACCAACTCGGTGGGGACAAGGCCTTGGTTGTGGTCACATCCTCCCAAAGCATGATCATGCTGTGGCCATGTAATGCTCGGCCAGCGGCCCCATTTGTCCTCCTTGAGGTTCCCACTCAAAGCATGGAGAAGGGCCAAAGTAACTATAAAGCAAAGCCTAGGACAGCGGCGTCCCCTGGACACAGGTAACACCCTTCTCTCCATACCCTGGGGGGGCGGCCACAGGAGACTTCTGGCTAAAAGAAAGTTTCTCTGATAACCTGTCCCCAGCAGGCTGAACCTACTGCCAGCTCTGCCACAATCTCTGCTCAGCTGGCCCCAGAGGCAGCAGTAGGAACTCTGGACTAGCGCTGTGGATTGGTGCTCGGGAGCGTGCACATGGGGGTAGCTGACACACCCAGCCTGACCACAGCGCCCACATGGTCTGGACTCAAGTCTTAGAAGCAGATGCTTCTTGGCTCACCAGTGACCCACAGGCAATGCCTGTGGCCTGCCATTCAGGCTCCAAATTATGGAAGTCCAAAGCCAGAGCAAGGGGACCCAGAGGCCAGCTCTTGTCTTTATCTGGCTGTGTGACCACAAGTAAGTCAAGCAACATCTCTGGTCATAGATTCTGCATTTGCCACAGAAAGGTCAGGCAGGCTCTCAAGTCACTTCTGGGAGTCTAAGTACAGCTGCCACAATGGAACCCAAGGCCAGCCCTCCACCTCCCGCCTCATCTCAGGGGCCCATTTTTATACAGCCATCAGGCTTCCTGGGAAGCTCATGAAGTCCCTGCAAAGCTCCCGATAGCAGGACAGACATGAGACACGGTGGGCGAGGCTCCAACTGCTGCTGCTGCAGGCCATGCCCCCCTCCCCCCACCCCAGCCTGAGCCTCAGCACTGGCTCCCAGCCCAGGGCGCCGGAAGTGATGTGAGGGCTCCAGACACTGAGATGCCTGCGCTTTCCCCAACCCCAACTGCATGGAGCCCAGAACCAGCGTGGACTTCAGGGCCTGAGTGCTGCTAAACATATCTTTCCCCCTGTGACTTACTGTAAAGAGCAACCACAGAACCTACTGGACCATGATTCCAGAGGGCCTGAGAAAGCAGCAGGACCAGACAAAATATAAGGGTTTCAGAGACGGCCCAAGGTCGAGCTCACAGCCTCCACAGCCTCTACGGCCTCTGTCTCTACCCCCTGAGAGCAAAGGGCCCAGGTAAGGAAAAGCAACCAAAAGTACACTTACACCTGTTATCTTAGGGCGCACTCAGAGGAGGGGGGGAGGAGGAAGGTGCAGGAGCGGGGCACTCTGGGTGCCGGCCTCCTGTTGGACCCTGCTGTGGATCTGAGACACCCCAGGGCCAAGGCTGCGCTGCATGCAGTTTATGAGTTTTGTGCTTTGCTAAACTACACAGGTGCTGCTGGTCAAGTCTTTACTAACAGGCAAGTCTAAGACGGGATTCTGACCTTGGCCTGGGTCAGGGAGCGCAGCTTCTCCTCGGAGGCTCTCTCGGCTGAGGCCAGTGCCTCCATTGCCTTCCAGTTCTTTTCTCGGAGATCCTGGAAGAAAGACGGGAAAGTCAGCAGCCAGGCGGGGCAGCACCCGACACATCCCACAGGAGCTGCCTCGGCGAGTCTCAGCAGGGCAGAGCTTCCCTGACCCCACTCTGGACCCCACAGGGGGCCTGCAAAGAGACGAAGCAGCCTTTCTCTTAGGCCACACCCACTGGGCCTCTCTCGGCAGCACTACCACCAGGCCAAGGTGCTGCAGGCCACTATGGGTGGCTGTGGCACAGGGCATGAGGCAGCTAAGTATCTTTTTAGGGAGGCTCTACTCTGGAGGAGGAAGGATCAGCCTGGCTCCTAAGAAAAAAGAGGTTCCTGTAACCAAACAGTAAGCACTAACCCCTTGGCTGGCTCTGGCCAGGCCAGACACAGGGAGGTGTAGGTGGAACTTCCTCTGGGGAAAGCAGACAGGGCTGCCCGAAAGCCCAGGCTCTGTGAGGGGTGGTGGGTGGGCAGCTGGGTGGGGAAGACACAGCCAAGGCTCCATTGCACCTTGGCCTTGTGTTAATGCTGCCGAGAGGCCCAGTGGGGACCCCCCCCTCCCTACACACAGACAGTCGAGGGACTTCCACATCCCCCTCTCCTGACACTAGCCTCTCCACTTCAAGGTGACTGACCACGTGACCCTGGCAAGGACAATCAGCACATTCTGTCCCCATCATGGGAGTTTCATGCTGGGACACTGACCCAAGCTAATCTAATGGGAGTCTGCCCCAGGACTCTGGAGGGACCCCAAGGGCAGGCTTTCAGCGGTGAGTAGGCCCCTTCCTGACATCCAGACCAGCCCCATCCCCGGCCCTGCTGCGCACACACATTCTCAGTGCCTCCTCCACGTACACACGCGCCCAGTACTCACATTGTTCCTCCCTTTCTGCTGCTCAACAGCCTCCTGGAGCTCGGCGGCCTCCTTTTCCAGACACCGCACCTGGGACTCCAATTCCTCAAGGCTGAAGGGAGGTAGTGGGGTCACTGCTGGGCTCTGAAGGCACACGGTCCCTGCAGTCTTGTCTCGGGAGGGACCCTTCCTCTGCCTGGGTGGCCACCTTAGCCAGAAGCACCTCCCACTCCTCTCACTCATCCTGAGTGCCCAGGGACCAGGGTGCAGAACCCAGAGGCCACCAGAGTCCCACCTGGTGATTACAGTCACTGAGACTGTGGAGGTAAGAGCAGCCACAGCAGCCAGAGCAGGGACGGGCCCCGCCAGCAGGGTTTGCAGGAAGCTTTTTCCTCTAGTGAACAAAGCCCACTGCCTGGTTACACGGCTCTTGATCAACCTGGTCCTGCTGTCCCCAATGAACTTGTCCGCTGGCCCTTCTCAGAGTACACCTGAACTAGGCTCATGCAGCACTGTCACCTGCACACCTAGAGACTCAACGCCGCTATTCTCAGCAGCTCACTGGGTACAGGGGACCATCCTTTGTCCAAAACCTAACTCCACTGAGACCCAAGGGCTCTTCCCTCAGTCTGTGGCCCAGGTCAGACCCCAGGAGACAGGGGGTTGGCAGGATGTCGGCCCCATCTTTTCACACTTCTCTCCAGATTCAGTGGCCCAGTGGGCTTTGTCCAATCTCACCATCCAGAAACTCAAAGGCTGACATTAGAACTGTACTAGCCTTTCTGAGGAACAGCTTCAAATGGACACATGGATATGTCACCTTCTGCATTAAGATTTAGGACCAGGCCCTGGACAGTATGGCTCAGTGGTTGGAGCGTCAGCCCATGCACCAAAGGGTGGAGGCTTCGATTCCCGGTCAAGGACACATACCTGGGTTGCAGGTTCCATCCCCAGCCCTGGTCGGGGCATGTGCAGGAGGCAACCAATCAATGTGTCGCTGTCACATCGATGTTTCTTCCTTTCTCTTTCCCTCCCTCCCTCCCTCTCTTCTCTCTCCGAAAATCAATGGAAAAAATATCCTCAGGTGAGGATTAACAAAGTCACTGAAGGGATGGAGACAAGGCAGGGGGCCTCTGAAAGGGGTTCCTGCCAGGAGAGCCGGGTGCCCTGCTGCAAGGCCCAGCTCCCAGGGTTCTGGGCACCCTTGCTGAGGCTGCGGCCCTCCACCTCCACCTACCGTGCCTGCTGCTGGTTGGCCTCCACTTGGCTGGCCTGGAACAAGACAATAGCACTCCTCAGTCACCATGCGTCTTACCTCATTTGGCTACTAGTTGGGGGAGAGGAGACTTGCTCTCATCCCCTACACAGTGGTGGTGGGGTCCGGGTCAGGTCCTATCAGCCCCAGGGAGGAAGTGCCAGCTGACCTGGGCATCCTGGGCGTCCCGGGCCTGCCCTGCCTCCAACAGGGCTTCGATGGACCGGATTCTCTCTGTGAGCTGGGAATTTTCCGCCCTGGACTCCTTGAGCTGCCCGTGTAGACCACTCAGCTCCTTGCACTTGCTCTTCACCTCCGCCTCGGACGACTGTAATTTGCTGTGCAGCTCTGGCCAGAAGGGGAGCAAGAACCTCATTTCTAGTCCCCTGGACCACTCCTGCCCCTCCAGTCCATTCTCCACCCAGCATCAGAGCATCCAGAAGTGCAAATGAGACCATGCCATCCCAGCCCCAAACACTCTTAGCATTTCCATCCCTGAACACAGCACCCAAACTGCACAGGGAGGCCACCTACCTGGTCCCACACTGGCCACTTGCCTTCTTGCTTCAGTTACTCGCTGACCTTCTATTTCTTGCACAGACCAAGTTCAAGTTCATTCCCATTCGCACGGGTCCCTGCCGACCACTCTGCCCCTTCCTTCTCATCATCCAGACCTCAGCTTAAACACCCCAACCCAAACTGCCCAACTAAAGCCACACCTGGCTCCAAGAGCAGGGGTCAGCAAACCAAGCCCATGGGCCACCCGTTTTGTAAACAAAGCTTTATTGAAACACAGCCAATCCTGTCTATTTATACATTGTCTGGAGCTGCTTCTGCACTATGGCAGCAAAGTTAAGTTGTGACAGATACCATCTGGCCCACAGAGCCACAAATATTTACTACCTGGTTCTTCACAGAAGCAGCTTGCTAACGTGCTCTAGGTTGTGCTGTTCATCTGGTCTGTAGAACACATTCTGTCTGACCCTGTCGATGTGTGTCTATCTATCTGTCTGTCTCTCCTGCTAGAACGGTGCCCAGATGCCCACTGCTTCACTCCTGGCCATGCCCCAGGTGCCTACAGCAGTGCTCAGCCATGGCAGTCACTCAGGAAATACTGGTGAGCAAGTGACCATCAAGCTGTCACTGACATTGTCTGTCTTCTTTCCCTAGGGGCCCTAGATGCCCCGACTTCACCATCCTCTCCTGATTGTGAAGCAGACATGTAAGCACAGGGGGACCATGGGCCCACCTTCCAAACCTGGCCTCTTGAGCTAACTGAACCAGGAGAGCCAGAAAGGTCTAGAAGAAGTCAGCCGAGAAAGCCAGCAATGACCTCAGGAGCCCCTCAGCTCCCCGACAGACACAGCTCCAGGTGGGGCTTCACAGCAAACAAAGCTGGAGATGGCAGCTCCTTCGGCCAGCACCCAGCCCTCAAAGGCTGTTCCCACCTATTGTCCCCACACCCTGCCCTCACAAACTCCACCCCAATCCAGCTCTCCCACGGGAGTGAGCCACACCCCTGCATCTCCAGTCAGTCCTGACAGGGCGCAACCTGTCTCACAGACTAATAGGACTAGCACACTCTACAGGTTCTGGCCCCTGCATAGAACCTACCGCCCCCCCAGGGGTCCCCAAGCCAAGCCTCAGCCCTCACCGGCCAGCTGCTGCTGCTGCTCCTGAGCCTTCTCGGCGTCTGCCCGAAGGCTGGCGTGGCTGGTCTGAGCGCGGCAGAGCTCCCGGCTGACCTCATCCAGGCGTTTCTGCAGGGCCTCCTCACTCTCCTTGTGAGACGCCTGGGGAGTGGGCAAAGGGAGAAGTGCCATGAGGACTCAGAAGGGAGGCCAGATCCTCAGCCAGCTGTGAGGTCACGCAGAACACTGTGCCAGCCACCCCGATGACTTTTATAAAACGCGCCCAGACCTCTAAAGTCAGTTCATCCACTGGAAAAAGCCAGAAGGCTATGACCACCCTGGCCCCTGAAGAGTTGGCTCGGGGTGGAGGGGCCCCAGGTGAAGGGGCACAGTCACAAAAGGGAAAAAAACCCATTTTCATTTCAGCACGACACAGAGAGATGCTTCCTACAATTAACCCCAGTCTAACTTGGAGATTTCCTGTGTGGGCTCTTGTATGGTTCACATTTATTGAGCCCTTTTTCTGTACAAGGCACTGTGTATGTGTTACAAGGTTAACCCCCAGCGCCCATGAGACAGGTACTACTGTCATGTACGTGTCACAGACGGGGAAACAGAGGCTCTGAAAGCCCACAACAGACACCAAGGGCCTCACTGTCAATGCCATGCCCTGGTCTCCCTCCACACATGGCCAGCCACTCCCAGAATCTTTGGTATCAGGAGGGGAAAGAATGGACACCCTGGTGTGGCCCGAGGCTGAGGAGGAGGCCTGAAAGGGCAGGAGATGCTCAGAGCCTAGAGCTTACTGATGAGCCAGGCCCAGGCCTTGGCCCCAGGCCAGGTCCTTAGAAATGACACATGGAATGGCAACACCCTGGGCACTGGAACCATCCCGTCCAGGAGCCGTTAGAACATAATCATGGCCATGCCTAGCCCAGCAGTTCTGATTTCATTGGTCTGGTGGACCCACTTTACATGAAAATCAGTCACCACCACAGTTTCCACCTCAATTCCACCAAAACAACCCAAACATGTTTATTCATCCGTATTCCGTTTTATAAAAGTCTCTGATATGTACACAAACACATTGGTCTTCGAGTTTTGTGTCATTCTAGTCCCTTCCACAAGACAGCCCCATTGCCCCATGTGCTACAGCCTAGCTTTAATGACTGGGCAGAAAAGAGGCCCAGAGCCCTTTGGACAGCAGGACTTCCTTGTTACCCAGAAAAGTTAAATGCAAAGCAGGCATGGTATCAAGGCTCCCCACAACCTGTCACCCTTGCCTAAACAGGCCAACTTGGGGAGCCAGAAGTCATCAGGCCAATAAGCAGCTGAGTGGCCATACTAGATGCTGCCCAGTGCACTTTGGGAACAGGGGGACAATCTTCCTTCCCCTGGAAAAGGGCATCCTCCTGGGAAAAAGGAGTTGCCAGGCGACATGTGGAGGCTGAGAAGGAAGAACACTCACCCCACCTTGAGGCCAGAGGCTGCTAATGTTAGCTTGGATGGCTATAGCCAGAGGTGTGGTGCCAGAGGTGGTAGTGAGTATGGGAGCAAGCTCTGGGGCCTGACCCAGAGGTTGAAATTTTGCCTATGTGAACTTGGGGTAGTTGCTTAACTTCTTTGTGCCTTGAATTTCCTTATGTGTAAATTCTAGATAGTAACAGAATCTACCTCTTAGGATTACAGTAAGAATTAGCTGAATTAATGCTTGTAAAATGCTTAGACAATGGTTAGCACATAGAAAGCACCCATTCAAAACTAGCAAGCTAGCACTAATACTCAGGAGGCCATGGCTGAGGGCTCCAGCTCCAGCCCTGCCTGAGTCTCCAGCTGTCAGTCATGACTGAGAAGGCATGACTGTGTGGCTGGCAAGCCCTGGCCCATCCCTGCTACACAGACAGGTTTGCTGGGTGGGGTGAACAGTATACAGAGGTGGCCGCCACTCTGACTCACTTGCAACTGCAGGATCTGCTTCTCTAATGCAGCTGCTTTGGACTCCAGAACCTTCCGCTGCTGGTCCTCTTGTCGTGCTGCCTCCGACTTCTCTGCCAGCTCCTTGCTGACCTTGCTGAGCTCCTGCCGGAGCTTGGCCAACTCTGCATTCTGCCTGCAAGACAGTCACCAGCCCCCAACTGACAGACAGAAGAGGGCTCAAGTCAGCTGTTGCTAGCCTGAGAGCTGCCCTTGGCTGACTGGGACTGTGACAGAAGCCTTCCCTCGGGACATCTGCTCTTTCCTAAGTAGTTGCCTGAATCTTGGCACTATTGCTAAAGCCTCTCCTGCATTATCAGCCAGGTGGGGTTTGACCAGCACGCTGTATGGACCAGAGAGAGCAAAGAGCAAAATGTGCACTAAAATATCCCATGGGCGCCCCTCCCAAACATCTGGAAATTCAGATTAAAAAAAAGGCAAGACACTCTCTTCCTCACTGCCAACCGGGGTCCAAACAAGCCCTGGGATGCAGGCTGGCGGCAGCAGCCCTCTGGAGTGAATCCATGTGCCCCATTTCACTGGAGGCCACCTGAAGCGGTAGGCTGAAGCACTTGACAAAACAGCTTTCAACACTGCACAGAAGGTGGGTGTCAGGACCAGAGAAGTTCAGGAGGGAAGAAGACTTGATTGACAGGAAAAAGAGGCAGCTCAACAGCTGCCTTTCCTAGTGTGAGGAGGTAATCAGCATGCAAGACAGGACTGACGGTCCAGCCAAGGGACAGCACCAGGCAAGATGAAGGGGCAAGACAAGACTGTCCACAACCATGGGAGGCAGAACACCTGGCCAAGACCAGCTCTGGCTGCTGCTGGGAGTGGACTTGGGTTTCCTCATCTGCACCAGGGAGGCCATCCAAAGCCCTCTGCAGGGCCGTCAGCTCATGCTGTATAGTACCAAGATCCAAGGCTGGAGAGCTCACAGGAGAGGCTAGACTCCAGGATCGTGGATGAAGGTGGGCGGCTGAGTGGGTGGCCCCTTGGGACTGATCTGCAGCTCTGCGAGGGGCCTGGGAACACCCATACACATGGGCAGAGCTCCCACAGACTGACAGTCAGTGGCTGCCACCTCAGGGCAACAGGACTCCATGCTTTGGAGCTTTCCCCAGGATGGAGCCACAGTAAATGCTCCGTGATGGGAAGCCAGAGTGCTCCTCCATCCCCATGTTCACCTTCTGCTTGTGGCTGCTGAAAAGAAACTGCCACAAACCTCCAACCGGCTGACAGACCAGGGTGGAGATGAAGGCATGTACACCCAAAGGGGACCTCCGGAGAGAAGAAACCAGCCTGGGGAAGGTGGCCTTAGGATCTCACTCTGTGCCAGGAGGGCCACCAGCAAAACAGGCGTATGGGCACTGATTTCCCTCTCTGGTCTAGATCCCGGGCATGTCCGTACTCTCTACCTTAGTCCATTCTCCTCTTAACAAAAGGAGATGCTCTGTGGATAATGCAGATCCCCAGAAAGTCCCTTCAGGATGCTTCAGGCCAAGGGAAGACAAAGAAATGTGAATAAAAAGAAAGTGCAGGGGGCGTCTTCAAGCCAGCCTGTTGAGAATGTAATGCTCAAACTAGAGTGTCAGAAGAACGCCAAGGTCTTTAACATGGTGAGGCTCCGTGCTGCCCTCTGGGGTCAGACACTTGCTGTGGACTTCCTAGCACTTCAGCTCCTGAGAGTCAACGCTGAGATCAAGAACTCTGCTAAGCAGGCTGGGCCGGTGTGCTGTGAAGCAGGACTTATCACCAATGCATCAAAAGCAAATGTTTCTCTAGCACAGACCCCACCCCCAGTGGAGAAGCAAGGCGCTCAGGCCCATGGCAGGTCCTTACACCACATCAAACTCTGATCTTGGACAATCCACTTGGCCTTGATACTTTAGGTCACAATCAGAAGTTTTTAAAAGCCTCAAATCAGGATGTTGTGAAGAGAGACATGGAAAAAGTATCTGCTCATCCAGGGAAGCAGATGCTGGCACCAGCCAGGACCTGAGGGGCACTTGCTCACAGGCATGGGCACGGGCATGTTGGAGCTCACTTCTCTCTGCAGCTTGGCCAACTGAGAGGATGCCAGCCAAGTGCTAGAGGGCTCAGCCACTCGGAACCAGCTAAGGGATGGAGGATGAGGGCAGAGCCCCAAATGGAAGGTGCAGAGGCACAAGCCAGGCCCAGATCCAGTGAGAAACTAGAGTGCACCAGCCACAGCCTGGCAAGAGGCTCGCGGACCCACCCCAGCACTGGAGGCCCACAGGACTGTGCCACTGCAGTCTGATTGGGGGCACTGAGCTTACTTGCTCTCCACCTGGCTCGTGGCTTGGTTCAAGGCATCCCTCAGGATAGAGTTCTCCTGCTGTAGGCGGGCCAGCTGTGTGTTGGGGCCATTCTCCAGCTGCTCCTGAAGAGTCCGGATCTAAAAACCATTGATGGGAAAAAAATAAAAAAAAAGTCATTGATGGGGTATCAGAGTGCTGCTCAGCCTTACACAAAGAGAGCTGACTTCTGGAGCAAGGTTAGTGAGGTCACAGCCTGCAGACAAAACCCTCAAGGGCTCCGCTTCTCCACACAAGGTGGGAAGGGCCACTAAGAACAAGCAATCTAAAAACTGAACAGCTCTAGCATCGGGAGCTTAGGGCAAAAAGTGACCCCCAGCCACAAACCTCTTCTCTCCTGAGGCCTCCCAGCTAATGGTCTCCAGGCGGCAAAGTGTTCAGCCGAGTCCCAGGCAAGCTTCACACACTCTGCCTCTTAGGTCTGAGACAAAGGACACAGCCACAGCCACGGCTACACCTAGCCCAAGGAAGCCTCAGTTTCTGCCCTCTGGCCTCCTGTGGCCCACCATGAGTAGAACGCAGGCTGGAGAAGATGAGGCCCAGGACTCTGACTACACAGGCCAAGCTGGACAGGCCTTCCCTTGGCCCCATTCCAGAGCTGGGCAGTTCTTGGGCCTTTTGCTTTAGGTGATCCTCCCAACCTCAAGTGGAAAAGGCAGAGCCAGCATTACTCCAGGGTCACATGGAGGCTGAGAGCTTGACTCACAGGCACCCAGGAAACAGGACTCAGGGCTGGCCACTTGGGACCAGACTGTTTTCAAAAAGTGCTCTTTCAAATGTATGTTACATCTTCCCAGTTAGTAACATGAAACACACAGTAGGCTGGTTGCCACTATCTGGCCAGATAAAACAGGTGCTTCCTCCAAAAACGAACCAGATTCTGTAGCTCCCACCTCCACCCACCAAGGGCATCCTCAGCTGCCCTTTGGGAAGCACTCCAACCCACCCTGGTCCCCTGACAGTGCCCCCACACCACTGCGCACCTTGCCCTGCAGCTGTTGCACCTCCTTCACGTGCCCCTGGTAGCTAGCCTGCATTCGGGCCTGCATGGCTGTGATCTCCTGCTCCTTGGCCACCAGCTGCTTTTTCACCTTGGCCTCCCCGGCTGCTGCCTTGGCCTTTTCTGCTGTGAACTCCTGGAGAAAGCAGAGGGCTGGTTAGGCAGGGGCAGAAGCTTATCAGATGGGACCAGATCATCAGAACGCAGAGCATCAAATGGGGCTGGGGCTGGGAGGAGCATCAGAGCAGAGCCACAAGACCCCTTTTCCCAAGTTCTCAGGCAGATCCACGCCAGCCACAGCAGACAACAAGCAGGAGACAAAAGGTTACCAGAAAACCCTGTTGGCCTGGCCAGTTAAGGGCTGGATGTCAGGCCTTAGCCACAATAGATGTAGTGGACACAGGCAGGAGGTGAGTAAACACAGAACACTCTCCCTGGGCTCTTCAGGGACCCTGGCTCAGCCCTGCTGGGATTACGACACTCCAGTTGGCTTGGTCCCTGACATCCAGGCCCCAGAACACCTACCTCTACTTGAGCACCTTTGTCAGGACTGACAAGGCTCCAAGTTTTGATGGCTGGGGTGGGGACATGGTTCACTGCCTGTCCCACCATGGCTGAGGAGTCAGCCCCCCTCCTGGAGGGCCTGGGTCTGTGTGGGCGGCCACTCAGCCCAGGAAATGTCTGCTCTGGGCAGTGTCAGATGCCACGATGAACACAGGATGCTGGGCTAAGGGAGAGAAGTTGGCTGGGATCTGCGTCAGCCCAGAAGGAATGGCAGTAGACGCAGCCTTGTGGAAACAGGGAGTCACAGTGCGAGGAAGAGTTTAGGCAATAGGCATCTAGGGAGGGGGTGCTCTCCGGCCAGTGGCCTTCCAGCCAGAATGACAAGTACTTGGCATGGGTCCAGTTGGCCTGGGTGACTTGAATCCCATGAGATTCAAGGCCCTGTCCCTTCCCCATCCTGGGCAATGAATGAGAGAAATGGGAAATCCTCTCCTTCTCTAGGCCAAGGCTGCCAGGGACACCCATCCCAAAGGGCCAGAGTGTCCCTCCTGTCTGAGATGGGAAAGAATCGGAGGCAAGGGGTGGGGCTGGGTGCATCATGGGCCATTAGGTATCAGCGCTGCTCTGTGTGGTTGAGATCCCTGGAACCCACTAGCCCTACTTTTCAAAGATAACTCTCCTCCTGGCTCCACCAAGGAGAGAGCCCACGGGAGCATGAGGTCCAGACTCCGGAACACTTCATTGATTATCTACAGAAATGGGAGGGGAGGCTGACACTGTGTGCCCTGCCCCCCTGGGTCTCATTCCTTACTCTCCATAAGGTAAGGATCTTGATCACCAGTTTAAAGTTGAGCTCACTGACCCTTGGGGAGGGGATGTTGTCCCAGGCTGGGGAGCAGCTGTAAGTGGCAGCGGTGGTCTGGAACCTGGGACTGAGTCCACAAGGGTCCCAGAAAGTGGGAGGAACAAAAAGGTGCCCCACTCCTCTGGCTGGCCCGGCATCTCTGAAGAAGCAGGGCAAGGCAATGCAGCAGGAATTCAAAGCTCCACCAAGCTTCCTCTAACACACATGCCCCTGCCAGCCCCACCAGCAAAACTCTACACACTAGCAATGCAGGAGACCCCTTCTAGTACAGGATCCAGGTTCGGAAGAAAAAAACCAAAATTCAGAGAGATCCTGGAGTGCCCACAGCCACACCAGCAGCAAGTGGTGCGGCCACATATGCGTCATCCTCTGCCCACCTCTGCTGGCCACACCTAATGGATACCCAGAGGCTGGCATTGAGCATCTGTCTAGGGACAGCTTTCCCCACCCTGGGCAGGACTCCTGCAGTTCTGGGCATCCAGCCGGGGTCCCAAGGCCAGCAGAATTCAATGGGATTTCCCTTTCTTTTGCCTCTGGGCTTTTTTAAGGGCACAGAAAGGCCAGCTTTCCCTCAGGGCATTTGTTTAGCCCTCCTTGGCTTCGTCTTCTTCTAAGAGCTCAGAATCCCAGGATTCCTCTTGTTTGTCCAATTCTTAATTCAGTTGCAAGGGTCAGATTCAGGGTCATTTTCTTGAAAGGCGTGCCCAGTGGTGGTGGGGACTGGAGGACTGGAGCCCAGTTTTCTTTGGGCTGGAAAAGGAGGCTTGGCACCATCACAAGCACTGCTGGCTCAGCAACGGCACTCTGCTCTCCAGCCCCAGAGTGGGCCCTACTCAGTGTGGACTTCCAAGGCCTGCTAAGGCACGGACAGAAGGCAGCGCCTGTTAAAACAGTCTGCCACCAAGAATATCTCCCACCCCACCCCTGGGAGCACATCCACCCTGAGGGTCTCCCTGACTGCATGAAGTTAGACCCCGATCTCCCAGGCTGAGAGAACACAGGATGGGGTCTACTCCAGAGCTTTGCCTCAGGACAGGGGCCCCATGACAGAGCACCTGGTACCTGAGAAGACGACAGCTAGAAAGATGGGGTTTTCCAGAGGGCTGCACCAAAGCCATGCATGGTTCCTTAAACCCACGCACAGGGCCCAGAGGACTGTCAGAAAGCCAGGACAGAGGTCTAGGGTGCCCACACCTGTTAACTCCTGCAGCTGGTGCCTGAAATGATCCTTGAGCCCAACTTTGCTGGGACTTCACCCATTTGTGAAACATGGATCTGTCGCAGAGAATAATCCACAAGGGAAAGAAAACACGTGGAGGGAACAATATCCTATCCCTCTCACCAGCTCCTATGGGGAATGAAGAGGAACTTCCACACTCCCTCAAATTTAGTTTCTCATTTAACTTTCCTCAGTGGTGCTGGGCTAGGAGACGTGACAAGAATGAAGTCAACACATCAGCTCTGCCCAAAATTCTCAACCGAGAAACGCAGGGACCTGATGCCCACAGGTTCCAGAAGCAAAGGGAGGAAGGATGACAATGCAAAAGCCATTCGAGGTATCCTCTTAGCTGGCCTCGGGCCTTGGTAGCCACTTGGTGATAGGTGGCCTGCTGGGCCAATCCAAGCAAGGTAGCCAGAAACACCAGAAGGGACAGGTACAATGAATGGCACATTATTGCAATGATGACCACTGTGCTGAGACACAAGACTGGGGCTCTGGAAGGATTCCCAAGGGAAAGCACATTGAGTCTTCAAGGGCAGGGAAAACGTTTCCAGCCAGCTCAGCAGTGAGAAGCATATGAAGTTAATGGAAGGCAGGAGAAGGGGACCAGAGGAGGCGATCAAGGTGCAGCAGGTTGTGGAGCAGATGGGGATAGGAGACAGAGGTGGTGCTCAGGGTGCAGACTCAGGTCTGAAGATTAGGAGCCACTGGCAGAATTTAAAGAGGGTCTCGCAGGACCAGGTTAGCACTTGAGAGCCCAAGAGGACCTCCTTAGGCTACAAGGAGGAGGGTGTAGTCAGAAAAGGGAGGGTGGGACGCACCATCAAACATCTCCTCACCTCGGAGCCAAGGCCTGGATTCCTGGAGGGTGAGTTGAGTAATGAAAACCAAGGGCTGCGCCCCTGCATATCTCACAGGCCCCTGCAGTTGGCAGCCAGAGAGATCTACCATGGGAGGGCTGGAAATGTATCTAGGCCTGAGGGGAGGGTTTGTAAACTAGCTGCCACGGTGGCTTTGGAAATCTTGTGAAGTAGCCACCACTGAGGGAGAGCAGTAAGTGTCCGGCACAAGGGGCAGTGTCTAAAGGACCTCTGCAGGATGCACTTGCCCAAGGTGGCCGAGACACCAGCAGTGGGGAAGAGGCCAACATAACTGTCAGAGGCTGCACCTATTCACTCATCACACCTGCCGAATGCAAGGAACTAGCCAGGCAACCACATGACCAACCAGCCGTGGAAACTCTCACTCCTATTTCTTCTCACTTGAACTTTACTTTGGGGGTGTCAACAAATTTTCACAGGCATTATCAGTTCATCCAGAAAGAGGGTATGAAAGAATGGCTCCCCTAAACCACAGACTCTTAACCAGTAGTGTGCTGGTCAGCTGGCTCTCAAGAGGGAGGGCTGTGATTTGTAGTGCAGGCCCACTTCCATGGTGTAAATGCTCCTGGCATAGGGCACACTACGGAGTGTCTACCAGGAAGAGACATGTGCAATCAGCTCTTGGGAGGAGGGCAAATGGCTCCAGCCACCCTGCATTTAACCAACAAAAGGTAGGCTCGCATGAAGGCCACGTGTGGACAGATTTGAGAAGAGAGGCACCCACACCCTGCCCTGGGCAGAAGCTACCAAGCTCTAGTGAAGGCCGAGACCTGCCTTTTTCTTTCCTTCTCCTGGGCAGAGCATTAACCAAGAGTAATCAACCAAAGGCTCGTCTTCTACTCCTGCCGTCTCCCACCAAACTTTGTCATTTGGCTCAGAGCCATAGCCCTCCGATTTAGGACAGAAACTCAGGCTGCCTCATTTCTGATTCTTCTCCAATGGGCAGATGGAGATGCCCAGAGGAGGGGCTGCAGCCCAGACATCGTGAGGCATCCCGAGGCCCAGGCAATCCCTCTGCGCCTCCTGCACCAATGGAGGAGGCAGGTAAGCAGGGAGAGGGTGCGAGCAATGCTCAGTGTTTTGCTGGGAAAACCTAGCCCACAGGCTAGGGCACCAGGACATTCTCCTCAGGAGAGGGGAGAAGCCCCAGTGAGTTCTGGCAGCAGAGAGCAGCCCCTTGTGCATGTGCCTGACTCATCTGACTGTTGTTCACTAAGTACAAAGGTTACACACCAGCCATCAGCTGACACAAGAACAGGCTTTCCCTGTAGGATCACTCCACAGACAGCAGAAAGGGAGAAAAGCAGCACCCCCCGCCCAGTTCCCCATGAGTGTTTGCTCCAAGTCTCAAGAGAACTACTGTGGACCAACTGTGCCCGTCCTCCTTCCAGGGTGTATGCCCTAAAACGATGGCCTGCCACTGTGGGGCAGGCCAGTGACGTCATGCCGCAACCCCATCGCATACTGAGGGCCCTAGCCCCTACTTAACGACCCTGCACTTAGTCCTGAGAAGGCAGCCACCACAGGGGCTTCACAGGCTGGCCTCAGGCGACAGGGTCGCAGTGGGCGTTGGTTTGAGGGAGTTACATTTGGCAGGCCCGAGTGAGGAGCCACAGTGGGGAGGCGACCCCACAATCCAGGGGCAGCCCTGGCCACAGCCCAGGGGCGCAGGGACAGGGCTTGCGCTCAGCAGTACCTTATTAAGTTCCCTCAGTTTGCTCTTGGCAGCAGCCGCATCTTCCTGCTCTGTGGCCAGCAGCTTTTCCTTCTCTTCCAGCTGGCGTTTCAGAATCGCCACAGGGTCACCCTTCTGCGTGGCCTAGAAATGTCCACAGAGCCACATTAACAGAGGGTACAGACAGACCCTTGGTTTGTCCCCCCAACCCAGCAATCAGAACCTGACCCAGGAAAAGAGCAGTGTACCAATGAAGTAGGAGGAGTTTCAAGACAAGCAGATTCCAACATGATTCCAGACACTTCTGGGGGGAGGCACCTCTGCCTTAGCCACCCACTCTGTAGAGCCTCCAGAACCCGCGTGCACAGAAGCTGTTTAGCAAAAGCATCTTTGAGGCAGTTTTTAGAAGCATGGTGTTTCCGATGAACTCGGGTCAATGGTGGCCAGGGCCTCTTCCTGCCCCACTGAGGGCAGTGGCCATTGTTTCTGCTCCAGTGCCCACTGTTAGTGGCTGTGTATAGCCTATAGGCTGCTGGCTGAAGCACAGAAGCCATGGGAGGGGAAGTGTATTCTGGGGACAGTAACCTGAAGGGAGTTCAGGCCTCCCTCCTCAGAGAGAGTGGTCATCCTGACCTTCTCCAGCCACTCACACCCAGGAAACCTCCCCCCATGCTCACTAAGTGAGCAGCTCCCTGAGACTGCATGACCTATCACAGCTCAGCAAGGGCAAGGAGCAGGGGAAGCCCCACTGGCCTCTCAGGACATTCACCAACGTCTTGAACCACTAAGCTGTTACAAAAATCTCCATCAAAATTTCCTACAACTCCAACTCTGATTAAGGAACAAATAAATATGTGTCACGCAGCACTTGGCCAGCCTCTGAACTGGCCAACAGCAGGAGGGAAGGTGCTTCTGGGCCCATCACAGGGTTCCCTCACTCACAGTGTATCCCTACACACATTCCTTCCTGCACCCGGAGCCCTGGCCACAAACCGGCCAGGCCCCAGCTACTGTGTTCCATCCCTAGCTCTGCACTGGTTCTTTGTGTTTCAGTGGTCCGGCCAAAGCTGGTCTGTGGCTAAAGCCAAAGGATGTGCCAGGTGATTCACGCAGCCTCTGCTTGGGAAAGGGCAGCAGGGTTTTGCTGAGAAAGGTAAGTGGAAGCTGTTCCCTGTGCAGCTTAGCCAGCCAGGTGTGACCAGCCTTAGGACCAGGTAACCACTACAATTCACAGGTCCCTGAGTGGGAGAGAATAAGGGCACAACTACCCAGGCCAGCTGCAGAGGCCACTGAATGTGGACAGGGGAGTGTGGGCCCACCTTATGCCAGGTGTCCTGAATGATGCCAGCTTTCTCAGACAGGATCTCAATCAGCCGCTGGGCCTCACCCTCGCTGAAGACCATGCTTCCGACTGTGGAGACCAGCGTTTTGTAGGGGAGGTAGAGAGGACTGTCGGTGTCCAGGGGCCCTGTGCAGAGGGAAGGAGCAGGGACTCAGACATAAGTAACCAAGCCCCTCACACCCCGAAGCAGCAGGAGCCAGTCAGAGCTGAGGACTCTGTCCAGCTGCCTGGAGTACGGCTCCTTGATTTACGATGGGTTTACGTCCCAACAAATTCATCGTAAATTGAAAACATTGTAAGCCAAAATGCATTTAATGTACCTAACCTACTGAACATCATGGCTCAGCCTAGCTGACCTTAAACGTGCTCATAACACATTAGGCCACAGTTGCGCAAAGTCATCAAACACAGAGCCTATTTTATAAGAAAGTGTTGAATATCTCATGCAATTTATTATGTGTATCACTTTCAAATCATCATAAAGTTGAAAGACTATAGTAGGAATGATGGGTGAGTCGGGGACTGTCTGTACTCAGAAATGGAATAGACTGAGGGCCTTGCTCAACCTTCCTGACTGTCCAAAGGTAGCCGAGGAGGTCCCCAAGCAAAGAAAGGCGGAGTTTTCCTGGGTTGAGGGAGATACTCCCCACCCTTATGATCAAAATAAGCAGAATTAATCAAGGCAAAGGTGCTTTTTCCTTCTTTCTCAGATAGGATCCTTCTTTCTTCCTTTTTTTCTCAAACAGCCCAGCAAGGCTCACCCCCTGCATGACCAAGCCCTATGGCCCTGTGGCCCTGATGACCAGTGAGCCTGTAATCCCCCACAAACACAGGTGCCCACAGCTGCACCCCACGGCCAGGGGAGAAGCATGGAAAGCAAAAGGCCCAGGTCTCCAAGGTTGCTTCTCTGAGGCCCCAGGGAAAAGGAGGCTGCCTCCCACACATCCAGGTTCAAACACGATTTCCAGCTCTCCCTGGATAAAGCTTAGGCACATTTTAGGAGACAGATGCTGGGCTGGGTTCTTCCAGAATGGGCCTGAGCCCTCCTCAGTCCGTTAGTGACCTCTGGAGGAGACAGAGACATTTGCCGAAAACTGATGGTCACTTCTGAAACACTTCTGATGCCACCCCTCAAAAAACTTTGCTCTCATTGCAGGCTCTCAAAGCAAGAAAGATTGAACTGAGGTGCCCCGTCTAGCAGGAGCCCTGCCTGAAATGCCCGGGGAATTCCTTATGCTGAGGCTCAAAGCTGCCCTACCACTAAGTGACAGGGCCAAAAATGAGCTGAAACCAAGAAAACAAGCTGACCTGTAGCGGCCCCTTTAGCTAAGCCCACCTCACCAAGGACAATGAATGCAGGAGGTTTCCATAGCAACCCTAAATTCTCTGGCTTGTCACAATATTTTCATCACAAATCAAAACATTTAGCATGATACCTTAAGAAGGGGAATGTGGGACATGGGGGAGCTGGTTGCTATGAGCACGTTCATTTTAGAGCTTTCTACCTTGGTGAACCTCAAGATTAGAAATAACCATGGTGACATTAAAGGTCTAAGAGCTCAAGGGTATACTGAAAATGGGTGGTTGTGTGGGTGGGGGAAGGCCTATCCCCTTTAGCCTTCTGTCTTTTCATTGAAATATATATAAAATAAGCAGTAATTTTAATGGTAAACTTATGAACACTAGAAAAAAATTCTGAGTACAGCTAAGCCAAAAGAAAATTAAAAACACTCTCTAGTTCACTATCAGGAGAAAACCCCACTGATAGCATTTTGGTTTAAGGGCTTCCTGTTTTCCTCCCTCAGCCTGTAGACAGATGTTTACTGCCAGTGTTTTCCAGAAGGAGGACCACTCGTTTCAAATACACCACTGGAGTAAGACTGGGCAGCACAGTCTCTCTGAAGCTGATCACTGCACAGACAATTTCCTGTGATCACTCACAAAGTCCACTCCTGGGCTGTCTGGTACACTGGCCACCAGCCACAGGGGCTACTGGACAAAGGAAATGTAAACTGAGGTGTGTGACAAGTGGGGGTACACTATGGATTTCAAAAATTCCATATAAAAAAGTTACATATCTGTCATAATTTCTTATATTGATTGTATGTTGAAATTATAATATTTTGGATAAACTGGGTTAAATAAAATACATCCTAAAATGAATTCCATTTGTTTCTTGTTTGCCTTTTTAAATGTGGCTACTAGGAAGGTTTAAATTCCATACATGGTGCACACATGTGGCTCACACTGTATTACTACTAGACAGGCCAGTTGGCTCCTTTTCAGCCCCAGGGACCCCAAAGCACTCCCCGCTTAAGTCCTGGCAGCCCCTGTCCCCACAGAGGCCTCAGAGTGACCACGGGCTTGGGCCTCTCTTGAAGGCCATCCTTCTAGGCCCCCTGAGGCCCCGAGTGTACTGCTGGGGTGAAGGGAACATCAAGGTAACACAACTACACTTGTCTGTGAAATGTCATTTCCTTCACAAGCATCAATCACCCACTGGTCTTGAGAAATGTGCATTCCCTCCTGGAGGTCTAGGAGAGATGGACCCCAAGACACCCAGTCCACAAACCATTTCTGAGAGTACTCTGTGAGAGTGTCATTCTAATATATCTTTAATTAAACTTTAAGTGTAATTATATTAAATTTTATTAGATATAGTAATGAACAAATAAAAACTTGTAACAAGTGAAACAATCCAAAGCTATGTACAGCAAAACTTAATTCTCCCCTATCCATTCCCCTCACAGAAACTTTCCTGGCCTTCTCCATCCTCATACAAACACTATCTTCTACATTATTTTTAGAGGGCTATAACTTTACATTTTCATTAAGTCTTTTAGGTAAGAATGGTGCTGTCTCTATGGTTCCCAAATCAGGGAAGTAAAACTGAAAGGAAAAAAGACGTGGAAGCAGGAACCAGAACTTGTGGACATCTGTGGGGGTCACATTTATCTCGGTTTCAAGATCCTCTCGCCACATCAGCAGCACTAAGCCCACCCTGACGAGGTACCCGTTACTAGGAGACAGGCACACTGACTACATCAACAAACAGCATATTAACAGGAGTTAATACGTGTCTGCACATCACACGTCTCCAGCCAATACTCAGAAGATTAGAAATAATCCTTGGTATTGTGAAATCTTAAGGTACTTAAATAAATTTGTCAAAGATTCAACATCTAATCTCTCCAACCACAGACTTCATAAAGACTGTGAGGCAGTGAAATCTTACGAGATCAGCTCACTGAGGGCCTGCTCCTGTAGCTGATGTTTTGCCTACTTTGGTAAATCTGCAATACCAGCAACAGGCCAGGGAGGCCAGGGGAGGAATGAGGCAGCAGGAGAGTGAAGAGGGAGAGGCAGCATCCCACTGCTCTGGAGTAATCCAGGCGCCTGTCTGGCAGGGATGGGACAGGCCTGGGCTCAGGGGGAAGCCTCTTCTGAGCAGGGTGGCCTTGGGCATGTTCCTTCACCTCCAGGCGATGGACCTCATGATCTGAACCAGAAGCCTCAGGGCTGCGGACTTGTTTAGGAGAGCTGGAAACAGATTTTTATGTGCCATCTCCTGACCTTTAGTGCTGACAGCAACCTCAATGAAAAACAGATAAAGAAAACCACTGTGGGGCTAACCAAACACAACCATGGGTCAAGTCCAGCCTTCATGTCACCTCTGCCCTTGGGCAAAGGCACCATAGTCACAACAAGGCCCCTGGTGGCCTGAGCTCGAATTCCAGCTCAGCTCCTTCCTGCCTGCTCATCCTGGACAAGTGGCTTCACCTCTGTTTGCCTGTTTTCTCATCTGTGAACTGGGGGTGATTGTTCCTCCCTTACAGCCTCACTGCAGCTGGCTGGAACAATGCCTGCTACAGGGTAAAGCACTGAAGAATCCACTCACAGGGCCACCTTCAAGCCCCAGTCGCAGACGCTGACCTCTGCCCGGACAGTGCACCTAGGAGGGAGAGCTCAGGGTGGCTTAAGCAATTCTGCCCCTTCTCCTACTCCCACTAATGGAATGGAAGTCATACAAAGGGGGTGCCCAGGAGCCTGCCCTCCATGGACAGAGCACCACAGGCTGTGGACCCTCTGACTCCTGCCTTGCACTGCTGTCCTCACACAGCAGGTTAAAGGGGCAGCGCAAAGAGGTAAGCAAGGAGCCATCTCCTTCCTGGGCTCTCAACTCAGATAATGGGCATAATGCTTCAAATTCCAAAACTAAGCTCCCTTTTGTGACCACAATGGAGGCTTAATCACTTAAAATTAAACGTGTCTTTCAAAAAAAGGCACACAGGAATCTCTGTCAACTGGGGTCCTTTGGGAAAAATTTCTCTCTACCTGCATAGTTACCAGGCTCCCCAGCTGGCAGGTTCCAGCCAAAGAAGACTCATTGGGTCCCACAGCCCAGCACTGCTTTAGTACCAGCCCCTCCAGTACACAGTTCCTGGAACTCTCCTGGCACTGCTCATGTCCAGCTTACTAACTCAACACAGAGGGCATAGGAACCTCTCCAGTAACTGCCTCCTGAGCTCCAGACAGCTGGTGATCAATGGGAGACTATTGCCATAGCCCTGCCACGGCTCCAGCTCAACTCCAGCTGTTGTTGCAGGTGCCTGGCAGTCCTGCCTAGGGCAGCCAGATCCAGGTGGTCCTCATACACAAAGTATGGACCTACTGTGTATCTGGCAGTTTACAAAAGGCTGGGCCTGAAAAGGTAAGCTGGGGTGAAAGTGCCAGTTAAGACAGGCGGAGGAGACACAGGACACGTGGTACTCACGCAGCAGAGCCACAGAGGGAATCTGGGGAGTGTGCATCGCTGCAGAAGCAACTATGGCTGTTTCCTTGGATTGGAGAAAAAAGCGATCTGTTAGCTAACTGGGAAATTGTGCTCTTCATGATGTCTAATGGATTTTTTTTAAAATCCATAAGTTGCATGACTTTATTCCCCCTCAAATTCCAAAAAAAATCAACTTCATATCTGAACCATGAACACCACCTACAGCTTCTCTAAGACGTGGCAGTCCCACACTAATACTTGGCTTGCTTCCCTAGGAGATGCTTTTGTTCTTTTAAAAAAGAAAAGAAATGGATCTGAAGAACTAAGAGAAAGTGAATAAAGGCTCAGAAGCCCCACAGAGATCCCTTCAAAGCTGCAGACCCTGAAGAACTTAGCTAAGTTCAAAAGAAAGAGTATCAAACTTACTCTCAACACACAGCTGTCTGGCGCCTCAGCCCTCAGGGGGCGCCACAGAGGCTCAGGCTCGAGCTCTGATCCCTGCCTTGGCATTTGCTGGCTGCGTATTTCTGGGATGTCTCAAAACAGAGCTGAGCTTGGGTTTCTGTTTTTGTAAAACAGGTAAAAATACAAATCTACCTTTCGGAATGTTAGGGGCATACATTCATGGAGGAGAACTTCATGAACCAAGCACCTAACCAAACATCTGGTTGAGAGCAATGGCATCACGTTCCCTGTGCTGCCCCAGCACCAGGCCCCAGACACAGCAAGCCCACAGCACAAAGGACAGCATGAGGGGAAGGGAGGTGGAACAGGAGGAAGGAAGGGGTGGTTTCCTTATCAAGTTACACAGTTGAAGATGAGGCCCCTGCTAAGCTACAGACACCTTGAGTAAAGTTTTCCTGGTAGGTCTGAAAATTTCTCCACATCTCCCTGACCTCTGGTGACCCCTGTCCCATTCATTAGGTTATAAAACATGATCCTATTTACATTTCCACCTGCTCGCTCTGGCAGAGGGAGGAGTGGCCTGTTGAGCCTGGCACAACATGCAGCTGCTAGGCCCCCGGTTCGCAAATGCAAGACCCACCTTCACATTTCCTTCTAAGCTCAGTTCCTGAGCATTTACTGGGAACCCAGGCCTGGGGCAGGCATGAGAAGAACTGGCCACTTTCTTTCTCCACCTGACCCCCTAAAAGTACAAGGACATCTTTCTGCTGCTCAGAGGACGCTCAGGGGACCTCTGGTCAGGGCTGCACTGCTCACAGCACTCAAAAGGACAGGAGTTCTGGTTGGTACAACGAGGGCCTGTTTATTTGACTCAGACAAATAATAGAGTTTTTGTTTCTTTTCTATTTAAAAAAATACATGTTACAGAAAAACTGGGAAATAATGCAGAAGAGTGAAAAGAAAATACTAAGTTTTACCCATAATCCTGTCCCCCAAAGATGCCCTCTTTCTCCCACATAGGCTGTGTGTCTGACAATGTGGTCATCATGGGGTTGTAAACACCTGTCTCCTGGAGGGTGGCTGGGCTCTACTGGACCCTGTCCTAGTGGCCTTCTGGCCCCAGAGTAAAGTCTGCATCTGTAGACAGGGAGTGTGTCAGGTATAAAGCCATCCAAGAGAGGAGGGCCATGCCCAGGGCATCCATTGGTTTCGGCCTTGCTCAGCTGCTACTCCACGCAAACCAAGCTCCAGCAGAAGCCCTATGTCCTAGAGCACATCTAAATGGGGAGTCTCCAGCACGAGCATCCTGTACATGCCAAGGCTAAGTCTTGGTTTATCCAGGGCCTAGACCCACACCGTGCTAATCTGAACTTACTTCCAGGTCCTAGGACAAACAGCTCTCCTGAAAGTGTAATGCTAACATGCCCATAGCACACGCTAGGTTTGGGGGAGGCAGGCCAGCATAACTATGCAAGCAAGGACTGAGGACAAAAATAGGTTTTTAAAAAACCACCACCACCACATACACACATTTCCTGTGAAAGAAACGTGGCTTTCCTAACGGGCACCACGCACACGGGCTGAGTAACTATCAGAGAATGAATCAACGGAGGTCCGCATGGCACTGCGAACGCTTAGGAGCTTTAATTCTGGGAAATTTCCACTTCTCTATGGTTCCGTGAATTCCCTCTTCTCCAAACACTGAGACAAGACAACATGCCCTTTGTTTCATAAACAGGTATTTTCTCCTTGTTCCACACCTGCATTTATGACCCTCCCCTGAAACTGTCACCATTTCCATGGTGCCACGAGCAGCAGTCAGTAGGAGGGCGATGGAAGCATTCATGTGGGCCTCTTGTGCTCTGCGACAATGGTAAATAGTGAAATGTGTTTGAAGAGTGAGGCTGTCTTGTCTTCCTAAATTAAAAACGTACCTACCTTCTGACTTAGTGATCACATGTCTAGGTCACATGTCTATTTTCTAGAGATACTCACACAATATATAATTTTAGCAGCAAAAAACCACACACTACTTAACGTCATTTAAATAATGACACATTCATGCTCTGAAAAGTGGCAGCCCTGTAGGAGATGTCACCAGTACGCTTGTAAGTAAAGAAAGCCAGTTCCAAAGCTGCGTGCACTGTAGGCCCCATCCAATGCGTCTGATGTGATGAGCAGAGTATCTCCTGGGGGTCCCCCTGGGAAGTGAGTGGTAAATGGGACAAAGTGGAAAGAAAAACTTTGTATTTTCACCCTCCATCAGTCTATACTGCTTGAATTTTGTTTGCTGGAAGCACATATTTAAAAAGCAACAAATTTTAAAAAGCAAGGATTAGGAAGGCAGGTGTTCACTGTCAAATCTGGCCTCAGACAAGTGGTAAAAGCTGTCACGTGGCCCTGATCTGCTCTTGTAGGAAAATTAGATCACAAGTTCTGGAATAGTTCCAAGTTGGACCTGTAGAAGTGTGTCCTGTGCCCGCCTCCACACCTGCTGGGTCTCCCTCTGGGCATCTGTCAGAGAGGGCCCCATCTGGTGATGACTAAGGAAGCAACCCTGCCTCTGGTGGACCCCAGCTCTGGGGCAGGTTTTGCTACTGATTTGTCACATGTCATGGCCAGCCGTAGCCTCCATGACCTCCTTTGCCACATCTCACTGTGCTATGGAAGACAACAGGAGCTCACCCCCACCCCACTCAGGACACAGGCAGACAGAACAAAGCAGAAAGGAGCTACATGTACCACCAGGCTACAAGCACATTTGTTTGCAGAGTCACCTGTAAGGTGACCCAAGAGACCATCACCCTAATGACTCTTGTTTAGAGTAGCGCTGTCCAGCAGAAGTTACTGTGCTGATGGAAACATTTTCCTTCATCTGTACTGCCCCAAAGGGCAGCTGCTGGCCACATGTGACCACTGAGCATTTGGAACATGGCTAGTGTAACAGATTCTTTCATTTTATTGACTTTTGATTGACTCAAATGTTAACTTACATGGATGGCCCCATGTGACTAGCAGCTTCCATAGTGGACAACACAGACCTAGACTCTAGCTCTTTGGTGCCCATGGTCAAAACCTCATGGCCCTGGAACCTTCTCTGAGTCAAAATCTCCTCAATTTGGAGGAAGAACTCCCTTCCTGGCCTGCTCCACACCAGTGATTGGGAACCTACTCCCCAAGTACTTCCCCACTGTCATCAGGCCACCTCCCCGCCAACTAAGGCTACTCTCCAGGTCCCTGAGTTTCTGGACACCCAGGGCCAGCCAACCCACCCAGAGCTATGACCACAGTTCCCTTCTCCAGGGCATGCATAGCCCTGGAGAAGCTGGAGGTAGAAAAACCCTGGACAGACACAGAGAAGCTCAACCTCAGTTGGTAGGCAAGGTCAAGAGCATGCAGCTGGGGCTAACTCAAGGGACATGAGGCATAACTTTGTGAAAAGAACATGGCCTGCTTCTCACTCGGCAACACGGTCAGAGCCACAGATGCTAAATATGAGTCAGATTAATTCTGGAACACTAAACTCCACATATAAGATGTAATGACAAGATGAACATTACCTTAAAAGAGGGCAGTGTGCCCTCCCTCCAGCCTGTGGAAGCAGGGCTGAGGCTGAGCGATTTGGCTTTCAAGGGCCTGAGAGGCTGACCTGACCTATGGGGCCAGGTGGCTGGTCCCTGATCCTCAGCAGGAGCCCAAAGCCACTCACAGAGGATGGGTCCCCTCATATGAAGCAGAGTGCTGCCTAAACAAATGCCGCCACCTAAAAGTTGGGGGTGGGAGCCTGAGAAAAGGTAATATAACTTCACTAAGGGGCAAGAAAGGGAAACCCAGCTAAAAACATAGGACCTTGTGCTACCCAGCATAGGTCCAAACATTTCAGACCCCTTCGTATGCCTCATCAAGACAAATGCAATTCATTTTCCAAATCTACTAGGAAAACAAGATTATTTTAGCAAGGAGTGATGAACATGAAATAGAAACTCACTGGCCCAATTTCTACAGTAATATGAACTAAAAAGATAACAAGAAATTAATGTATATTATTTTATATATATAAAATGCTCCATTAAATAACTGGGATAGAGGGTAAGGAAGACAGGACTCTGGGGGTGGGAGGGGTGAAAACCATTGCTCCCTGAAAACATTATCACTCAACACACACAGAGAAATGAATGAGGCTATGCTAAAATACCAGGTGCCATACACAACAGAAAAGGCTTGCAGGAGGCAGCCAGACATTTAAGCAAGATTTGCCGTCCCAATTCAGGCTCACTTACATGACTTGCTCTAGCCAATAGGACACTGGTTTGAAATGTGCCCTATAACTCTGTCATCACCATGAGAAGGGTCTCTGCCCTGAGAGTCGCTGAAGTCTCAGCCTGGGCCCCAGAATGAACACATGTGGAAGAGACCTACGCTCAACCTGCAGAAAGGAGTCAAACCCAGTTGAATCACAGTGTGAACAGAGCCACTCAGCAGAGCCAACCCAGATCAGTCAACCTCCAGCCAATTCAACAGAAGCATGAGCAAGAATGACTGCCGGTGTAAGTCACTGAAATTGGAAATGTTTGTTATGCAGCCTTGTTGTGGCAATAGCTAACTGATACAGATGGCTTCCCCGGCTAAAGGGAATCAATAAGCCATTTTAAGATAGCCTTTTCCTCCAAGTTCATAAAGAAATCAAAGCTACTTACCAGGCTCGCCTTTCTTCTTTGAACCAGACTTCTTCTTTGCAGGAGCCTCTTGCTTTGGTGCCTCCTGGCTCTGAAGCATATCTGCATTTTTGCCCTGGTTAGGAGCTGACTCTGCCTTTTTACCCTGATTGGCAGATGCATCTGCCTTTTTGCCTTGGTTGGGGGACCCTTCTGACTTTTTGCCCTGGTTTGGGGTTCCCTCTGCCTTCTTGCCTTGATTGGAGGCCCCATCTGCTTTTTTCCCCTGGTTCGCAATACCCTCTGCCTTTGTGCCCTGATTAGCAACTGAATCTGCCTTTTTGCCCTGATTCTGGGCCCCCTCCGCCTTTTTGCCCTGATTCTGGGCCCCCTCCGCCTTTTTGCCCTGATTCTGGGCCCCCTCCGCCTTTTTGCCCTGATTCTGGGCCCCCTCCGCCTTTTTGCCCTGATTCTGGGCCCCCTCCGCCTTTTTGCCCTGATTCTGGGCCCCCTCCGCCTTTTTGCCCTGATTCTGGGCCCCCTCCGCCTTTTTGCCCTGATTCTGGGCCCCCTCCGCCTTTTTGCCCTGATTCTGGGCCCCCTCCGCCTTTTTGCCCTGATTCTGGGCCCCCTCCGCCTTTTTGCCCTGATTCTGGGCCCCCTCCGCCTTTTTGCCCTGATTCTGGGCCCCCTCCGCCTTTTTGCCCTGATTCTGGGCCCCCTCCGCCTTTTTGCCCTGATTCTGGGCCCCCTCCGCCTTTTTGCCCTGATTCTGGGCCCCCTCCGCCTTTTTGCCCTGATTCTGGGCCCCCTCCGCCTTTTTGCCCTGATTCTGGGCCCCCTCCGCCTTTTTGCCCTGATTCTGGGCCCCCTCTGCCTTTTTGCCCTGATTCTGGGCCCCCTCTGCCTTTTTGCCCTGATTCTGGGCCCCCTCTGCCTTTTTGCCCTGGTTGGGGGTGCCCTCTGCCTTTTTGCCCTGATTGGGGGCCCCCTCCGCCTTTTTGCCCTGATTCTGGGCCCCCTCCGCCTTTTTGCCCTGATTCTGGGCCCCCTCTGCCTTTTTGCCCTGATTCTGGGCCCCCTCTGCCTTTTTGCCCTGATTCTGGGCCCCCTCTGCCTTTTTGCCCTGATTCTGGGCCCCCTCTGCCTTTTTGCCCTGATTCTGGGCCCCCTCTGCCTTTTTGCCCTGATTCTGGGCCCCCTCTGCCTTTTTGCCCTGATTCTGGGCCCCCTCTGCCTTTTTGCCCTGATTCTGGGCCCCCTCTGCCTTTTTGCCCTGATTCTGGGCCCCCTCCGCCTTTTTGCCCTGATTCTGGGCCCCCTCCGCCTTTTTGCCCTGATTCTGGGCCCCCTCCACCTTTTTGCCCTGATTCTGGGCCCCCTCTGCCTTTTTGCCCTGATTCTGGGCCCCCTCTGCCTTTTTGCCCTGGTTGGGGGTGCCCTCTGCCTTTTTGCCCTGATTGGGGGCCCCCTCCGCCTTTTTGCCCTGATTCTGGGCCCCCTCTGCCTTTTTGCTCTGGTTGGGGGCCCCCTCCACCTTTTTGCCTTGGTTGGGGGCCCCCTCCACCTTTTTGCCCTGGTTCTGGGCCCCCTCTACCTTTTTGCCCTGGTTCTGGGCCCCCTCTGCCTTTTTGCCCTGGTTGGGGGTCCCCTCTGCCTTTTTGCCCTGGTTGGGGGCCCCCTCTGCCTTTTTACCTTGGTTGGATGTGCCCTCTACCTTTTTACCTTGGTTGAGGGTCCCGTCGGTGTTTTTGCCTTGGTTTGGGGCCCCTTCTGCCTTTTTGCCCTGGTTCTGGGCTCCCTCTGCCTTTCTACCCTGGTTTGGGTTTCCCTCCCCCTTTTTGCTCTGATTCTGAACTTCTACCTTTTTGCCTTGATTGGGGCTCCCCTCTGCCTTTTTGCCCTGGCTGGGGGCCCCCTCCTCTTTTTTACCCTGGTTTTGGGCCCCCTCTGCTTTTTTACCCTGGTTTTGGGCCCCCTCTGCTTTTTTACCCTGGTTTTGGGCCCCCTCTGCTTTTTTACCCTGATTCTGGGCCCCCTCTACTTTTTTGCCCTGGTTGGGGGCCCCTTCTCCCTTTTTGCCCTGGTTCTGGGCCCCCTCTGCCTTTTTGCCCTGGTTCTGGGCTCCCTCTGCCTTTTTACCCTGGTTTTGGGCCCCCTCTGCCTTTTTACCCTGGTTTTGGGCCCCTTCTGCCTTTTTGCCCTGGTTCTGGGGCCCCTCTACCTTTTTGCTCTGGCTCTGGGACCCCTCCGCCTTTTTGCCCTGGTTCTGGGCCCCCTCAGCCTTTTTGCCCTGGTTCTGGGCCCCCTCAGCCTTTTTGCCCTGATTCTGGGCCCCCTCTGCCTTTTTGCCCTGGTTCTGGGCCCCCTCTGCCTTTTTGCCCTGGTTCTGGGCCCCCTCTGCCTTTTTGCCCTGGTTCTGGGCCCCCTCTGCCTTTTTGCCCTGGTTCTGGGCCCCCTCTGCCTTTTTGCCCTGGTTCTGGGGTCCCTCTGTCTTTTTACCTTGGTTCTGGGTCCCCTCTGCCCTTTTGCCCTGGTTCTGGGGCCCTTCTGCTTTTTTGCCCTGGTTCTGGGGCCCCTCTGCCTTTTTGCCCTGGTTCAGAACCCCTTCTGACTTTTTGCTCTGATTTTGGGCCCCCTCTGACTTTTTGCCCTGGTTGGGGGTTCCTTCTGCCTTTTTGCCTTGGTTCTGGGTCCCTTCTGTCTTTTTGCCCTGCATGGCTCCAGTGGCCTTGGAACCCACTGGGGGCACAACGACCATAGGCACCTCCTTTGGAGCGGTTTCCAAGATGGCAGCCTTTGAGGCAAGAACCTGGACAGAATTCACCACAGAACTGACTGCTGGTTCCACTTTTGCTACTTTTTTCTCTTTCTTCTTTTTGTCCTTAGGGGAAGAGGCCAGCTTCTCTTGGGGCATGGCTGGCACCGTGGCTATAGGGAAAATGACCACAGGGGGATGGACTGAAGTTGGAGCCACAGCCACTGCAGGTGGCCGCCCTGGGTCTTTGAGGAGGACGGTCATTTGAGGGGCTGGCTCGTGGTCAGGGATCTTCCCGTTGGGTTTCTCATCTTTTTTCTTGGTCTTTCCTTTCTTCTCCACCGTTTTCTCCTTCTTTTTCTTTTCTACTTTCTGATGATAAGTTTTTGCCATCTCCTTGCGCTGGTTGGCTAGAGCTTCTTCATAGGACGTCTCCTTCATGGAGAAGGTCGACACCAGGAAAATGCCAATGGCGGACACCACCATGAATCCACCAAAGACCACAACGCCCAGGGTTTGAGTGTCGTAAATGTCCATTCTGGCTTGCTTTCCGTTCACCTGCCAAACACAGACACACAGATTACTTTCTACAGAAACTGGGGTATTCCTTTTCCATTCCCATCCCCACCAATAAACTTAAGGTTTCATTAATTCTTCAAACTGATAAAGTCAAAGAAGAAACAAATCCAGGCAATCTCTGATGCCATACATTCTTACCTGCCCCTCCTTAGAAGCAGATACAAAGCACTAGAGAGATGGCAGAGGGAAGGTCTGTACTTGGGCATGTGATACCCTGGGGACTCAGAAGCCTCAATCACAATTCAAGATATTCCCCACCACAGGAGTTAAAGATGCACATGAGCACAAGCACAGGTCAAGAGTAAAACAATGGGGAGTACTGAGGACTGTGGTAAAAATGCCCCACTAAATTAGGAGGCAGGTGTCAACCAGGCATAGCTGAAATGTAAGCACTGTGCAAAAAGAGCTTTTTCTTTTTCATATTAGGCCAGAAATCTTTACTCAATGTGAAATTGACAAATTGGAAAAATATCATGTGAGCCTGATATAGTAGGCAGTTAAACAGGCACAAGCAAAGCAGGAACTTGATAAGCCAGGTATGGAAGGTCATGAGTGTGAAAAGCCCCGGGAGCCTAGCAATGGACACCTGTAAGGTAGGACCTCACACCCCTAGGGTGACCTTTCCTTCCCTAACATATCGCAGGTAATGCACTTCAGACCCCCTGACCTTTCATATTGCTGGTCATCATGCGATTTGGACCCTCCTCTGACCTTTCCTCCCCTGGCATATTACTAGTCATGTGGTAGACCCCTTAGAGCAAGAACAAGGGGGCTGGAGAAAAGCCTCATATGATTCCCATATAAGCCCTTGCACAACCATTCCCTTAAGCATTAAGCCCCCAAGATGCATCAAATAATCTTAGGAACAAAGCCTCAGGTCTGTTGACCACTGAGACAGAGTATTAGTCAAACTAGAGATAACATCCAGGCCTCAGTTGTGTTTCAGCTCCAGGCCCAGAAAAGCAGCAAAGCCAGGCCAGGTGAGGCCATGGCTGACATCAAGATCAGCTATGGTAATGATCCCCTGCCCTAGTGCTGACCAATCAGTGGAGACCATGACCCTGAGGAGACACTCCTGGAAAGCTGATGAATATTCTATTGAGATCCTCCCAAGACTTCCAGGTAAAAGACCATAAGACCCAGAGGATGGTACCCCCCCCCCCAATCTATGTCCAGGCAGCCTAGCTAGCTCACATCTTCCATGGCTCACTTCTCTACCTCTGTGACTTTCTAAATAAACTTTCACTTGTATTTCAGTCTTGGCTCTGAAGTCTTTCAAGGACCCAGGTCTAACATCTGGTGGCATTCGCCATTAATGAGTCAAAGCAAACATTTCTAGTCTTTCAGCTATATACATTCTGGCCAGCAAGCCCCTGGTGTGCCATCTCTACTCTGTTGCCTCCCTTTCCCCAGTGTTGATAAATACAACTACGCAGGGTCAGGAAACCTTTTCATTACAATTCTGAAAAGTAACCAAGAATTTGGTGAGGAAAAAATGGCCTTCTGCCAGTGATAGCTGCTGAAAAGTTATGGAACCTGCAATTCACACATTAGGAAACGGGAGGTACCAGTCTTGGGAGGCTTCCACGCAATAAAAGACTCCAGGTTTGGAATTTCACATCCGGAGGCTGCAAAGAGGGAGGGAGGAAAGTGTCACCAGGCCCAATCCTCACCCTGGGGAGGGGGCCCTTTGCCCGGTGACACACTTCAAACCTAGAGGATGGATCACCCCTTCTTACTGTCCATGGACCAAAGTCCAAAGAGTCAGAGGCAGCCTGGTCCACACTTTCTTGGCTGACAGGCCAGGCTAGATTCAACTTTAGTGAGAAACTCCAAGAGGTTTATTTATTTGGATACACTCAACTTTTAGCAACTAATTTTGATGTTAGCACATTCCCATCCCTCTGAACTAGAGTGAGAAACAGAGCCTAGCCCCCTACAGAGGATCAGCGATGCAATTAGTGAACAGAATGAGTGTTAAGACAGGTAGGTAAAGGAAAGCTGAAAGGGGGAGAAGAGAGAGGAGCAAGAGAGGTGAACGCCCCTCCCTGGCATAACCCCTCCAAATCTCTAGACACAGTGTCCAGGCTTGTCATTGGCTTCGAAATTGAGATTCCTCTTTCCGTGGGAGTGGGAAAGGGAAAGAGAGTAGGAATTTCTAAACAATCATGAATCTAAATTTTGACCATAGGGCATTTAAAAGAAGGAACAGAGAGACTGTTTTAAATGTCTCAGCGTTATGTCCTAAGAAAAATTAGTCATTGCAGAACAAGCACAATGCTCCACTGTGCCTTTCTAATAAAACCCTGCTAGGCAGAGGGTTCAATGTGCTCCTGACAGACACTTCACCCAAGTGCTTTCCACGGTGGAAACTGTCAGCTGTAGCTGTGATACTGCTCCTAGTCTACCACCCTGGGTCTGCAGAACCAAGTCAAACTTTTCATTCCGCTCGGAACCTCTGCAAATGAAGTCCGAGGTGGGCTCATGGAACCTTCAACCTGGGCAAGCAGATTCTGACCTTTCACGGTGCAACCCACAGCCAGGGCACTCTCATTTATGACAGTCAAGAGAGGCTGTCCCAAATTAGTCCTTCCAGGAACACACAAGCTAAGTGTTGAAGAGGAAACTGCCTGCTTAGCCCTGAAGGGATCCACGAGTTGGGAAGGCAGGAACAAGAAGCCCTGGAATATTCTATGGTCAACCTCCATTTCTTGGTGAGCACCCACCAACCGAAACACCAGGTCCTCAGAAGGATCGCTCAGAACTTCGCCAACGTGGACACACTCAGGTACAAAAACTACTTTATCATCCCTATACTCAGTCTATTCAGATGACAGAATTCCTCGGAAAGAGCCCCCTTCTCCCGAGGCAGCACAACACCAGGGACGTGAGTCACCCAGGCAAAGAAGGCTCCATAAGCTCCAAGTGGCTTCCCAACAACTCTGCGCTTGAGGGGTGGTCTCCCAGGGAGCTGCAGGGTCACCAGCTACTACAAAGAGAGCCTGTCCCTTCCAACCACTGTGGGGCCTGTGCAGCCTTGTGGTTTGGGTAGAAAAGCCAAAGTTGCAAATCAGCCTTGAATCTTGCTCAAGCTAGGCAAACATGGGATCCAAAATATATTCTCTGCTGGGAGCTCAGAATCGGGAAAGGCTCGCTTGGGAGAATATTTCCCTCTGCAGCACACACAAGTTTATGTTTAATAGCAGTGTAAATGTGTCTCCCCAACTTATGCAGAACGAGTTGCTCTAAAAAGGAATTATATCCCCACTACTAATTCCTAGGCTAGAATTTTTTTAAAAAGGAATTATATCCCCACCACTAATACCTAGGTTAGGATTTTTTAAAAAGAAATCTTTCACAGAAAAATACAAAGCCCTAGTCTTAAGGAGTAATACACTGAAGCACTTTAAGGCTAAGGCCGTATGACCACAAACAGCAGAGAAACCTAAGTGAAAGCCAGCCTTCCTGCTGCTCTGCAGGGTCAGCTTGGGTGGGAACATCATGGGAGATCCCGGATTCCCAGGAATGATAAAGCCAGTGATGCCTCACAATGTGCTCTCAAGATCAGCATTTGGGGTGCTTTGCTTCTGAAATCCCCACTGGGTTTCCCATAGGCCATGTCCAGGTTGGTAGAGAAGGTGTGTGCCTGCCAGTTTCAAGACATAATTGACATAAAGCACTGTATAAGTTTAAGGTGTACAGCACAATGATTTGACTTACGTATATCGTGAAATGATTACAATAGGCTTAGTTAATATCTATCATTGCAAATCGATACAAAAACAAAAAAGAAAAAATTATTTTTCCTGTTATGAGAATTCTTACGATTTACTCTCTTAACTTTACAGCAGTCATCATGTCATTATATTATACATTACATCCCTAATATTTATTTATCTCACAACTAGAAGTCTGTACCTTTTGACTGCCTTTCTCCAATTCCCCCTCCCCTTTCCCTCTGCCTATGGTAACCACAAATCTGATCACTCTTTCCATGTGGTAAGTTTTTTAGTTAAGATTTCATACATAAGTGAGATCATACGGTATTTGTCATTTTCTGACTTATTTCACTTAGCATACTGCCCTCAAGGTCCATTCATGTTGTCACAAAAAGCAGTTCCTCCTTTTTATGGCTGAATAATATTCCTGTGTGTGTCCCACAACTTCCTTCTCCATTCATCTGCGGATGGACATTTGGTTGTTTCCATGTCCTGGATATTACAAATCGCTGATTCAATTTCAATGACAACTCCTGAACCAGCTTTTGGGTTTGTGATCCAGTATATGTAATTCTCATTATTCCTTCCTCCAGCTTCTATTGGTTTATTTTGTTCTAACTTCTTGACATGACATTTATTAATTTTTGGGCCTTTTTTTTTCTTGTAGAAAATCTTTAAGGTAATAAATTTCCCTCTAAGTACTGTTGTAGCTTCACCCGACAAGCTCCAACGCATAGTATTTTCGTTACTGTTCAATTTTAAGTATTTTCTAATTCCCATATGATCTCTTAGATTTGTGTGGTGGCAGTTTCCTTACCTTTCCAAGCACGTGGGGGATTGAATTACCACTGACAATTACTCGTTTAATTTCAATGTCATCAGAGAATCTGTTCTGTATGATCCATAAAAATAATTTTTTATGTGAACAAGGACGGACGCACACACATACACTAGTATGCATATGTATGTATACACACATAAATAAAACATTCATGAGATAGTAACTCAGTATTAATAAGTGGGATACACTGATATTTTCTATGCCATCAAAAAATGTTAAAAGGTTTTTCACAACCAACTAAATTGACTTTGAGGCTCACAACAGTTTGAAAAACACTGATTTAGAGTATAATATTTGATGAGTTTTGTGAGACTGTGGTCAATTTTTATAAATACGTGTAATCTATGAAGTAAAGGGTTCCACTATATCCATAGTTGAGCTTAATAATCTTTTATAGAATGATAGTAATTTTTTGCC